TCTCATTCTGCATGAATGTTGTGAAAGGGTCCAAATATGGAAGGGAGACTCGCAAAACCTCTGCCCTGAAGTCCAGTATGAAGCAACCAAGAAGAACTTTTGCTATAGGTCATCCTATATTATTTTATTTATTCATTTATTCATTTGACTTGATTTGTATCCCACCCATCTGGTCTATCCGACCACTCTTACCACCCACAACCAACATTGCAGGGAGAGATTCAACCCCCTGTTAGAAGTTCTTCCAGCTAAAGATGGGAAGTTACTTTCTAAACCCACAACTCCAACTGAAGTCCAAATAAAAGGAACATTTCTCATCTCAGCTTCTACAAGAGGATCACCCTGGAATCAGCAAAAGCAGGTGTTCTGCCCCACAGGTGGGGAATTGTTTGCTTATATGGAACCATGGGCAAGGCAGTTCAAAGCAACACTGTTCCTCTTTTGTCAATATGTAAAAGGTGAAAAACCAACAGCAGATCTTTCAATCTCATGCAAGGCTTGCATGCTAACTATGAGGGACATGTTTTCAAAACAAGACTCACATACTGTGTCACGCTTAGGCACTGATTATGCTGTTTTCTCTCCTGGGCATGAGCTATAATTCTGCACGGTAATCTTGCACATTGCTGCTGTCATGCAAAAGCTGATACTGTACTCAAGAGCAGCTATTCTCAGTGGAGGCCAAATGCTCCCCTGGGGTGGGCCTTGACACATCTCAAGGGCTACAGGCTGGCAACAGTTCTTCACACACCACCTTACTTAAGACAAATATATCAATTTTTAAAATTTAAATCATTCCCCCCCACAAAAGACCCGTTCCTAGTAGCTCAGATACCATGGACATAAGGCTCCCAATCCAGTCCCTCATTCCTCTAGTTACAAAAAAAAAAAAGTCACAACCAAAAGGGGTGCGAGGTGACTGCTGGCCACAGGAACGTCTCATACTGGTCCAGATGGGTCAACTGTGTGACTCGGGTCATGCAACTCCTTCAATCCACTCCAAGACAGCATTTCTGGGTTCAGAGCAGGAGTGAGAATCATGTGTCGACAGCCCAGGGGTTATATATGGCCCCAAAGCCAAGCTTCCAGGCTTCTTCTGCTCTACCTCTTGTAAAAAACCAAAACAAAAACATCATCTTTTCAGAGAGAAAGGTAAATTGCCACCCCTGCATGCTCCCTGAAGCACTCATTTACCTTTTAAATGTTTTTAAATACTGATGATTAATCCTTTGAACAAGTTCCAGTCCTCCCAATTTTTTTTAAAACAGAAGTGTTTTGGTTCTTCTGAATTTGGTGCACTTCCCCTGCATGGGTCTGGGGGCTGAGCCTCTGGACCCTTGGGGGAGGGCCGGCCCACCTTCGGCTTGGTGCATCTTCCTCTTGGCTCAGAATGAATTCTCTTAGGACTGAACAACCACAAGCTCCTTTCTCGTTGGGATTTTTTTCCCCCACAGCCTAAGAGCCATCTTCGTTACTGTTCATTTCATTTTTATCTCATCGTGGATAGACTGAAGAGCTAGTGGAAGGTGCATACCTTGGCTTTCCCTATTTTTCCCCCAAAACAACCTTTGCAAGGAAGGCCGGATGATATGAACTGTCCCAAAGCTATCCTCCAAGCCTGATGGCTGAGCAGGAGATAAACCAATGTTTCTGATGTCTAAGCCTATTACCCTAGCCCAGTCGCATCCCATGATTTATCCCTCTGTATACTGGGTTGTGGGAAACGATTCTAAAACTCCTTCCAGCAATCCAAACCCTTCATCCATACTGCTAGTCCACAAGGATTTCTACTCAATCTACCCACTGTTGACTTACAGGCAACAGTCAGGTGACTCCCACAGCCTTCCTTCTGAAGTTATGTAGACCTGTGTCTGGACAGTAGCCAAGGCGTGAGACTGCCTGGGAATTAAATACTGTACAGAGAGCTGAAAACTACAAGAACATCCAGGTTTGTGGGATTGGGTGCCCAGGGGCTAAAAATAAAAATGAAACAAACCTCTAAAAGAAAAGCAAGATGGGAGAAATACTTGATTTCTTATATCCAAAGAAGGATCAGAGCTAAACAGCAGGAGCCTTGCGTTCATCTGAAGTCTGAAGAATGGCATTAAATGGATTAAACAGATGCTTACCTCCTGGCTAATCTCCCTCAAATACAAAGTGAACTTGCAAAAAAAGGGAAAGTACCACGGTTGAAACCTATTTTTCCCCCTAAATGCCTTCTCACCTAAGTTCAGAAAACACAGGGTGTGTGTGTGTGTGTGTGTATGTGTGTGTGTGTGTCCTAGCCATTAGGTTCAAAGTCTGAAAAATGAATGGTAATTAACCCCTGCCTGCCCAGTGAAAGCACAACTCCCCCTTCATATACACAAAATGCAAATATTCTCACCACTTCTAGGGTTTAACTAGAAGTTTTGTTCTTGGAACAAAACTCCCTGAAGCCTTTACTACTAGCCAGGATTTCTGGGGGTTGTAGTCCAAGAACATCTGGGGACCTAAAGCTGGGAGTCACTGTTCTAGAGCTATCGAGGAGGCTCAGAGGGGATGCGTTTGCCATCTAATCATTTATTCACAGAACATCAGGCCAAGCCCAGATGGCACTGTCCGTCTGTAACTCTTCCAGGTTTCCCCTTTCTGCATTTCTTTTAAAATAAAGGTGTTAAGGAGAAAGCACTGGGATAGCTTCATGACACCTTAGCCCTCACTTTCTGGAAGCACTCTTTGTTAAAAAAAAAAACTTGCTGCAGTAACACACAATTGTTTGACATAAAGTGATCATCATGTGTACACAGGAGGCGGTGGCGGACTGTGCTCCAGCCACAAGCAAGCAAAAGCCATCTCGAAAACTAGGCGTGCCAAATCTAGAGCAACCTCTCATATCTTACAGCCCACCAATCAATCATTCTGCCAACGAGCCTGAATCTCACCACGATAGGAAAAGCCAATTTCCCCAATAAAGAGATTTCTATGTTTGATGTCATAAAGTTACTACATTTATTATTCATACCGTGTTTTCCTGAAAATAAGACAGGGTCTTATATTAATGTTTGCTCCAAAAAATGCACTAGGGCTTATTTTCAGGGGATATTTTTTTTTTCATGTACAACAATCTACATTTATTCAAACATAGTCATGTCCTCTTCTGATTGCTGCACAAGGGTGGAGGGTGAGGTCTCACTTAACTAGGGCTTATTCTTGGGGTAGGGCTTATATTGCGAACATCCTGAAAAATCATAATAGGTCTTATTTTCAAGTCAGAACGGATTTCCAGCTACCCTAATAGGGTTTTCAGGACAAGTGAGATATCTAAGGAGTGGCTTTTCCAGTTCCAAAACCAGGTGAGTTTCCACAACTAAGCAGGGATTTGAATCCAGGCCTCCTGATTTCTAGTCCGTCACTCTATCTATTTTCCGAGCTGATCTCAACCTTTATTTATTTATTTATTGCCACATCCATAAACACAATATAAAAGAAATATAAGCTGAATCAGGATTGTATAAATTGCATAATGAATCTTGTAAGGTGGTGTGTGAAGAATGGTTTCCAATCTATGGCCCCCCCTTCAAATATGCCAGGGCCCCCCAGAGGTCCATATGGCCCCCACATCTGAGAATGGCTGCACTGCACCATGCTGGATATCAGGGTCCGTTTTACGGCAGTAAAATGTCAGGAAGAATCTTCCCCCAAACTCAATACAACTGATCATGTAAATTGTAATTATACGGTTGAGTACAAGTTTTACAGCTACCACAGAGCACAGCACAAAGAATAACATTCATGACTCTGATCCAGGATTCATGTAAGGGAAATCCATGGCAGCAAATGGCCATGTATTCATGAGATGCTGGTTGTGTGTTCCTGGGCATGCACTCAGGAACCAAACCCGTACTTTGTTAATAATTTGCTGCCAAGACTCCCTTTTGAGGCCCTAAACCGGAAAGAGATTTTTGGTCAATCTACAAAATACTGAAGTCGTATGACTGGTATTTTGAGATGTCTAAGATAAGCAAGAGCAACTGTGATTCCATAATTCATGGCAACCCTAACAACCAACATAAGGTACTTCTGTGCCCTAATACTGATGCATACAGCACTGGTGCAGAACCACTGCCCAGAATACTCCGCTTTCTGGGATATTTGCAAGGAAACCGGAATATCAAAGGGCCTTGTCCACTGCGTGTTTACTCCCAAATAAATTGTGCTGAAGTCAGTTCCCAAGTTAGGAACCACGTGGGGGAGCTGCTTTTTGTTTCAGCAGCAACTCTTTAAGGCCAGAATGTGATCCTCCTTTACTTGAGGATACGCCCCACTGACCACCGTGGGGCTTACTTCCGAGTTGACCTCGATAACTCTGCGCTCTAAGTCTCCCGGGAACTTGAAAACAAAGATAAGGCGTGCAAGCCTGACCCCAGTTCCCATTCGGGATACGTCTCTCCTTCCTCTGAAACGAAACGTGGGACGCCTGCATTGGAGGCTGTCCGCGGAACCTCACGCCACGAGATCTGCATTAACGCCTTCGCGGCTTTCTGCTATAAACATCCGCTGGCGCGCCTTCGGCTCTGAAAAAAAAAAAAGAAACGCACCGGACCCGAACACGCCTCCACAAAAGATGGGCGGCCGTGCACACGTGCTTCGAGAAGCCTGCCAGGATGGCAGCCCCCCCCCCTCGCCTTCCTGCGCCTGGGCTTAAAAACTGCGCGCTCGTCGATCCCGTTGAGCAATCCTTTCTCCATCGCTGCTTTCTGCAGCCCTTTCTGAAAACGCCCGTCCTCCTTGCCTCCTTCCTTCCTCTCTCCACCCACTTTTTGGAAAAACCTCCGGACGGTGCGGGATTTTTGCAGAGCCGCGGAAGCGCAGCGCCAGTGCGAAGGGGGGGGTGGAAAGCAGGGAAAATCCCCTGGTATGCAACTTTTCTTCCCCTACAGAGGGGTGGGGTGGAGGGGGCGGGAGAAAGTGTGTTTTTTTCGGGGGTGGGGGAGAGAGCAAGCACCGCTTCGCCTTACCGCCGTGGAGCCCGAGGAGGACGCGATGTAGACTTTGATCACCATCCTGGCTGCGGAGCGAGGCGCCGGGCGGCCAAGAGAAGTGCCTCTGGCCGAGGATGGAGAGGCGGACGAGGGAGGGAGAAGACACGCCTCCCCGACACGCCCCTTACCTCGCCCCGCCCCCACAGACACGCCCTCCCTTGGAACTCTCGCCCGGAGCGCCCCCACCCCAAAGAAGAGGGGGGGGCTCCCCCTTGCCTTCTTTTGCTGGCGAGACGCGCTAAGACCCGCCCCGATGAAGAAGCAGGATCGGACAGACCCGGCCTTTGGCGGACCCCTCCCTCGGGGATTCCTCCCTCGGTTCCGGTCTCAAGCCCTCCCCACGCGCTCTTTGTTCGTTTCCAGCCGCCACTCCCGCCCAGACCGTGGAATGAGTTCTTCTTCTTTTTTCAACGAAGCGTTCCGTGGCGTTACTCGTTGCAGCCAGATGACTAGCATGCCCCCTCCCTAGTTTAGAGCAGTGGTTTCTAACCGAGGTGTTCTGGGACTGCAACTCCCAGGAAACCCCCCCCCGCCCCGCCAACACAGCTGGAGGCGAAGGTTTTTAAGAATGGCAGTCCAGGGACATCTGGGTTGCCCAAGGTTGAGCACCACTGCCGTAGAGAAGGAGGAGCGTTCTGGGCGTTAAGAACTTGCTGGGTTGGCCTTACTAGCTATAGAAAGTATAGCGAAATACTTTGGTTCCCCCTAGTGGTCAGTTCTGATATTGCACATGAAAGTACAGTACAAGATAAAACGAGCCTTTTGCTTCCTAGGACTGGTAAGAAATTGGCATCAAATGTGAATGCTTTACCAAACTGCCTCTTAAAACGCCCTTTAAAAAGTTCATAAGTAACTAGAAAAAGTCTATTGTCATACCAAAAGTAACTTTGAATACTTATTGTATCACTTTTGAAATATAAATCAGTTGCATCCTCATTTGCCCAACAGTAACTGATTACAGTCAGCTGCATTACTTGAAATAAGTTACTTTCAAGGCAATTTGCGTGCTTTTGCCAGCTCCACTCCCCCAGTGAGTTCCCATGGCCAAGTAGGGACTTGAACTCTGTTCTCCAGAGTCCTAGTCTGTCACTCTGTCCACTACTACACCACCCCAGGAACTTTTCTTCATAGAAAAGCATAGAAAAGCTCGGAAAGCAAGCACTATTGAGTACAATGGGATTTACTCCAAGGTAAGTATGGGATGTGGTGGTGCCGCAGGCTAAACCGCAGAAGCCTCTATGCTGCAGGGTCAGAAGACCAAGCAGTCGTAAGATCGAATCCACACGACGGAGTGAGCGCCTGTCGCTTGTCCCAGCTCCCACCAACCTAGCGGTTCGAAAGCATGCAAATGCAAGTAGATAGATAGGGACCACCTCGGTGGGAAGGTAACAGCGTTCCATGTGTAAGTCGCACTGGCCATGTGACCACGGAAGATTGTCTTCGGACAAAACGCTGGCTCTATGGCTTGGAAACGGGGATGAGCACCGCCCCCTAGAGTCGAACACGACTGGACAAAAATTGTCAAGGGGAACCTTTACCTTTACCTTAAGTATGAAAAAGGAGTAAATCCCATTGTACTCTATTGTGCTTGCTTTCAGAGTCAGTACACACAGAGACATGTTGCCTGTTTAAAATGATGTTTATGATCATGATGTAGTACCATCAAAGAACAAACGTACTGTATCTATTCTTTAGATGGATATCCTAGCCTCAGATCCTCAAAATCACAAGATTTATAAAATGCAATCAACACACGAAAAACCAGCAATGTGAGCACTGGCAGAGGTTTAAGTGGCAGCTAGAGCCGACAGTCTCATAACGCAGGCAGCTGTTAGCCACTGGTCCTCAGTAGCTGCCCAAGTATGAGAGATCCTGATGCCACTGTGGCTGAATTCACACTCAACCTTCCAGTGTTAACTAAAATATATTAATCTGTGTTAGCAACAGTTAGACCATTGGACCAGCTAGCTCTATATTCTTTACACAGAGTGGGATAATGGAAGGTGTAGTATAATATTACTGGCAGAAAGCACTGCTTTCTGCCATTAAGAAGGCAAAAATAATGACTGCAGAACATTAAGAAGGCAAAAATAAGGATTACTGAAGAATTATATGACTTGGAAGCCAACAACGATGGATCAAAACGGTCAAAATTTGCTATTCTTTGTTTCAATCATCAGTCTAAATGGAGAGTGCAGGAAAAACAAAATCCAAAACAAAACCGAAGAAGACTCAGGCTTTGAAAAGGAGCTGTGAAGAAAATAAAGAAAAGTGCTCAAGGATACGAAAGTGTCCCTGAAAATCAAGGCCAAGATTAGTGAAGGAAGTTGAGGGGGGGGGGATAATTTAAAATACAGTACAGTATTGAAGAGGACTTTGTAGTGGGTGCTAGGTCAGATCAAGCTTAAATTCTCACCAGAAGCTAAAACAACTAAACCATCAGCTATTGTAGTTTAGTCACCTCATGAGAAGACAAGGCACATTGTGAAAAACAATGCTGAGAAAAGCTTTTGGGAAAGAGGAAAGACTGGACATGAAATGGATTGACTCAGTAAAGGAAACCACAACCTTGAGTTTGTAAGAGTTTCACAGGGCTGTGAATGACAGAGCTTTCTAGAAGTCACTAACCTATAGGGGAACCATAGGTTGGAAGTCCCTTGATGCCCCGTAACAAGTCTGATCTCTCTAGAATCCACCAGAGTTGGGAAAGTAACAACATAGTGATGGTGGGGACATCAGAGAACCCAGGTGTTTTGTGTTCTACACCCAGCAGTCGCCGCTGTGGCAGTCCAACAGGCGTGTCAAGCCAAAGGTTCCTTCCTGCCTTGGGCAATATGGAGTAAGTCTACAATTACTCCTGCTGTTTTCAGTGCCTGTGGAATGTGTGACGCATTGAGCCATCCGGGTGCCACTGAAACAAGACGGATGGATTGCATGGGCGTGGTGTGCACAGAGAAGGGGTATTGCGCAGGCCTGTCATGCATGTCTATCTTGCCCCAGATGTAGAGCCCATAGCAGCAGGAGCAGGGCATGGAGGGCAGCTCTCCAGATGTTTTCAGACTGCAGCCCCCTGCCGGGGGGGTGTCATGCTGGATAAGGTTGCTGGAAGATACAGTCCAAGAACATCTGGGAGGGTTTGTTTTGTCCACTCCAGGCCTGCTACCACACTCTAGAAGCTTTTCAACTCCAAATCAAGGTCCATTCAGAGGCCCATATTTTGCCATGTTGGCAGGACATGTAGGGGATTATGGGGTAGAATGCAGGGCTGTGCATGATTCCTTCCATCCCATTCCAGACCTACCCCCATTGGATCATCTTGGATAAGAGAGAAGAACAGCACCCCTGTTATTTAGATAGCCATGGGGTGGAAAAAGACTGAAAAGCTGGTTCTCTGAACAACATCTAATAAACTAAAGGGCTCAGAACTTGGTAAGCACCAGCGTTTGAACCTTTGGTTAACTAAACAGAGACATCTACTGGAACAGCTACAGAGATGCAAGGACCGGCCTAGAAGGAAGGCCATTATTAAAATGGCTAATTTGTTGAATTCATATACACTGTATATGGGCTTGTCTACATTCGCATTTGTCTCCCAGTAGGGGACTAGGTCCTGCGTGGATGGTCTTGTGGCTTTCTCTGAGGTCCACCTGATAGTTCATCTTGCCTGCATCTTCACCATGCAGTTCTCTTGTTTTCCTTCGCCAAACAGAAATTCTTTAAGTTCCAAAAGAAGGCGGAAGGGGGAAACGATGAGGGGGGGGGGAGGATCGGATTGCTGGGTTGCCCTTTGTTTAAAGAGCTGCAGTGGTAAATTCCACAACACTGGCTGGGGAGGGGTTTGAAGCCACGTCCTCCCACCACGGGCCTCTTGCAGACTGCAGCCATTTCCATCTAAGAAGCTGAGCGAGGCCCCGGCGACAGCCATGAGACTTTGGAACGTTAATAACAGCATATAATTTGGGAGCCACTCACAAGAGCTTGGTGCACAGCCTGAAGAAGATGAATTCTCATTGAAAACTTGCTCTTTGCTTTAAAAAAAAAACATAATTAGACTGAAACTTTCCCACATAAGCTGTTGCTGCTAAAACCTGGCAGACTGAGATGAATTGGATGGATTAATTGTTTTTCATAGTGTTTTAAGAAGGGTGTTAAGGTGTACTAATTCATCTCCTAAAACAGGAGATGGGCACTCACTGGTCTCTTGAAACAACGTTCATCTTAGCTTGCCTTGTGTGGACTGGAATACTTACAACAAAAAGCATTTATTTGTTTATTTTATTAGACTTATATACTGCCCATCTAGAACATGTTTACTCCGGGCGGTTTACACAAAAAAATAAACTATGAAAATATAAGTGTACTAAAAATACAACCCAAATTAACAACAGGATCCAAGATGGAAAAGAGAAAAGGAAAATAAAAATAGGCTAGGTGATGGCTGCAGAGAAGGCCTGCCTATATAATATGTCTTCAAATTGGTCTTAAAGTTCCTCAGGGAAGGGGCCAGACAGATCTCTGCAGGTCAATTGTTCAAGAGACGAGAGGTCACTGCTGAGAAGGCCTGATTTTTAGTTTTTTCCCTTCGGACCTCTCACAGCATTAGGTCCCTCAGCTGCCCAGCCTGACTAGAATGGGTGATACGGGGCAGAACTAGGCAGAAGGAGGTGGTCTGCCAGTATCGAGGGCTTAAACCATTTAGGGCTTTATAAGTACATTTATTTATTTATTTATTTAACTTATATGCCACCCACACTACCCGAAGGTCTCTGGGCGGCTTACAACATTTAAAATACAATAAAAGGGCAAAATAATTAAAATGCAATTAAAAATATATACTCTAAAAATTGCCATCAGGACCTACAGTTGATATTATTTCAATTAAAAGCCTTCTGGAACAGGAAGGTTTTGACCTGGTGCCGAAATGTCATCAGCGTCAGCGCCAGACGAATCTCATTCGGGAGGGCGTTCCATAGTCTGGGGGCAGCTGCCGAAAAGGCCCTTTCTCTACAAGCCATCCCTCTTACATCCTTGAGAGACGGGCTCTTTCAAAAGGGGCCCCTGGCTAGATCTTAACTGCTGGGTAGGTTCATATGGATGGAGGCGGTCC